CCCACAGAGCCCCTGTCCCCACAGAGCCCCTGTCCCCACAGAGCCCCTGTCCCACAGAGCCCCTGTCCCCACAGAGCCCCTGTCCCACAGGAGGGTGCTCGTGCTCGGGAAGGCTGCAGCCTGGCACAGAAGGACCTGCTGCACCTCAGGCTGACCAAAGTGTCCTTCCTGTGGGCAACTCCCCTTTCACCATGCCTGAACGACTCCTCCACCCTTCACTGGCTCCAGCAAGGAGCAGATGAACCCATTGTCCCATGCTCCAGGCAAAACTCTGTGACTTTGGGAACTTAAGATTGGAGCTAATAACACACACACTGGTGTGCAAGTACCCAGTGGCCTTGATGAACCCGCCCAGATCCTGAGACGCAGCAAGAGCTGTGGGGAGGCAGAGACATTGTTGTAGCTCCTGCCCCCTCTTATACCCTCTCCCTCTTGCCATGTCAGCTATGCCTGTAATTTTGGTCACCACTGGCAAGACAACAACCTGGAATTTTACCTGTGAATTTAATTTGTGCTTTTCTTACCTGCTTTCAAAAAAAAAAAAAAAAAAAAAAAAAAAAAAAAATTGGGGAAGATTTTTGCACCACCGTGCCCTTCAGCAGAGATGGAAAACTAAATTTGTCTGTTCAACGTGAGAGGTAAGACATGGACAGTGTCACAAAACTCCTTTGTGAAGCAGACCAACCAACAATCCAGCTATTTATAATTAGTGCTGCAGTAGTTATGGGTGTGATTTAGTTTTGGTCTCACTTTAAGTGCTTATTGCCTATATATGGAATGAAAGGCATTTCCATATAGGAATTTGGCTTAGAAAAAACAGGATTTTGTGTCCAATAACTAACTCCGATTTTCTGCCTCCCCTCTTTTGATTTAAAACCCTTTAGAGGAGGGATAAACTTGCATCTGGCCATGTGTGGTACTTTGATGGTACTCAATTCTCCCAGCAGGGCCATTGATGTAAAATGAGCACGGCTAAATGAGTGCAGCATGCCCAGTGCTGTGCTGGGCTCAGGGGCTGAGCAGAGCAGTGGAAGTGTTCCGTGGCACTTGGCTTGGCAGTGGCTGCAGGAGGCAAGGCACCACACAAGCTGGCATGGCAAAAGGATGGTGTGAGCAGGAGAAATTGCCATGGTGGCAGCAAACACAGTCCCTGCTGGTGCTTTCCACCCTGCACACTGAAATCCAGTCACCGCACCAGTCAGCAGTGGAACTCGAGTTTCAGTCATGGAGTTCTCCCTAAAACTCCCTAATTCCCTCAGTAATGTTGCTGACCTACTTGCCAGCTCTTTCAGTGAATGCACTACCCAGCTCCTCTGGGTCATCAAGACTGTGCTAATGGGCATCCACTGGTGAGCTGCCCTCTCAGAGCCAGGCACACCCACCTCTCTCAGCTTGCAGCGGTGCTCCTGTCTCCCGGCACCTCCCTCTGAGACCCTCAGGAAGGCTGCTTCAGCTGCGGGATTTTCGTGGCATTCCAGGGGAGCTGAAGAAAACAAAGGTTTGTCAGTGTTTGTGAGGATGCTCATTAGTCCATGAGCCCTGTGGACCCACCCAGCCCTAATGGCACTGGGACAGAAAAGGTGAAGCAGCACTATCCCCTCTGAACCTGAGAGCAGCTTTGATCTGGCTGCTTCACTATGACTGGTTAAGAAGAGTATCAGGCTGGGAGGCTTGGAGAAGACCTGCCCCGCTCCCTGGTCACTCACACACCCCTTTCCAGGCACATTTAGACCTTCATTTCTTGCAGTCTCCAAGAGAAAGGTGGAGCTGGGCTCTGAAGGAAAGGGTGGAAGTCAGGGAGTGGGAGACACAGAGTGCAGTTGCTGAGAGGAGGTGCTGTGCTCCAGGGCTGCTCCCCACTGCAGTGGCCATGGTTCACCCTGCTTTTTCCCAGCCAAGCTAGCCGAGGTGTGGCTGTGGCAGAACAGAGCTCCTCATGGCTGTGAGATCTGCTGGGCGAGCTGAGCAAACCCTCTTGTACTCTGCCTGATGCTCCAGGCAAAATCCCAGCAGGACTGCTCGGGTGCTGACACAGCAAATTTTGGCACCGTGTGGGTACATCCATCCTTCAGCACTCCAAGCTGCAGCCTGGACCGTGCTGGGAGAGGCAGCTGTGTGCTCAGCTACCTCTGCCTGCAAGTGAGCACCTAGCACTGCAGCCATGCTTACAACCACTGATTACTCGTCTGAAAATCATGGAGATTCTCATGCCAGTAGTAGCAAATGGCTCATTCATTCCCTCATTCATTCATGCCCACCCACAGCTCTCTCCGACAGCAGCCTGCATCTCTGCAGTTGCTGGAGGAGGTTTCTGGGTATTGTCTGCATGTGCAGAGCACAAAGGCAATTCCTCCTGGCAAAGAACGGGCTTAGTGGGCTGTGGAGCCTTGAGCACAGGACAGAATGGTGCAGGCCAATTCTCTGCCCTGTGCCTTGTGAAAAAAGCCATCTGAACTGCTGCACAGTTTAGAGGAGGGGGTCACAAAGCCTCAGGCAATTTTCGCTTGAAGAATTTCTGCCTTGTGTTCCCTGTAAGAGACAAGAGGTCAGGGCAATGCTCAGCTCAGCCAAAGCATGCTCATCCCGAGGAGCTGTCCTGCCACCCTTGCCTGTTCCTCTTTGGAACATCTCCTCGGTGGAACTTTGGTCTCAGATGAAGCTGGGGGATAACAGCGAGCCTGCTTGGGCTGGGTATCTCTGGCCATGGTTTCCTCGAGTCGCTCGGGAGATGCCAGAGAGGTCCTGCAGAAGCAGATGGGCTCTCACCTCTGCTTGCCACCCATCTGTCTTTGCTGCTTGCTGCAGCACACTCGAGCGTGCGCCCCCTGAACGTTCTCTGGCTCTCCTAAGCATGTTCTTGGCAGAGACCTGGAGATCCCTGGAGAGTGATGTTTCTAAAAAAGCTGCTTAGAAACACCGTTTCCAGCAATTTGAGCCCTTCCTTTCTCTGACACTTTCGAACCAGCCTGTGCTGTTAGGAGGATAAATCAGGCATTTAGGAATGTGGCAGATGGAGTGGGACACAGCAGTGAGTAGGAAGGGCAATTTCGTGTGCCGGACATCAATATCTTTCTCTTTGAGCTCTGTAGGCAGTGCCTCCATAACTGTTTCCAAGTACCTGGTGCAGTCTGAGTCCCAGTGATCCCGTGGAGGTCTGATGGCATCACAGCTGTCCATCAGCTAGCCAGGGGGCTTGGATGTGACAGGTATCTTCTCCCTGGAAAACTGAGAGTGCAGACTGCACCCAGGGAGGAGGCAGTGCTCAGTGGAATGTTTTGGCACACCTGTGAAAAATGGGTAGTGTGTGATTTGCTGTCACTGCCCTGCTCTGAGAGCCTGCAGAGGTAAATGGAGAAACCAAGCTCGTGCCACTTTAGAGCT